ACCGCCTCGCCCACTAAGTTAGAAGTGCTTACTGGGTGCATATGCTTTCACGAGGGCCTGCTTCAATGGCACGGGTATTTCGATCTTGAATACGCCATCAGCCTCCACATCGATCTCCAAGGCATCAATCAACGACCGCCATGACGCTGTGGAGGTGTCCGTCCTCCAATTCGCCCAAAGCTTGTTGATCTTCGAACGGTAGTTCTTGTCCTCCATGAGCTTCACCACGTCCTTATAGCACACGCCATAGTCCCGCCGTAACGCCACCTTCGAAGCGTAGTGGCGCATGGTGTTGTTCGGCCAATAGGTCACTCCACGTGCACGGCACTTGCGGAGCAAGTAATCCATCGCCATCTTGCCGTAGAACTGCGAAGTACAACACGTACACTCGGCATAACTCGGAAATTTGAGGACACCACAAAAAGGAGTCAGAAATGGCACAGCCACCCACACTGCCAATTTGTCCACCCCGCATTCCATACAGTCCCACAGAGTCACCTCGTAGCTCTCCACGCGCATGATACATTAAGCACAACCCCAGCCCAATGTATACACGCCAATCTCCTCGGGGCTGGTTAGTCCAGTTTTGAGTTGTCGGATCTTGCTGTCTGGGTCATAGTCAACGACCACCGATATGTAGTCGTTGCCTCTTTCCCGCTTAGACCCTCGGCAGATCTGGTTTCGATAGTCGCGAGCCCTGTAGGGTCAATTGCAAATGCAATTCATCACATCAGCTCATCACCCACTTCACAACACACCCTGAACAGGCCTGTACCGCTCTTCCACCATGTTGTCTTGCTCCAGGGGATTCTTCCAAAGCCCACAGTTCAGTCCCTTCGTCAGCTCCCCGACTCTGGCCGCCGTGTGTTCTCCAGAGCTGGCGCCCTTTGCTTTGCCCTCCACCGCGACGCCCCGGCGTGGCGACCTGCCTTCTGCCGCGACAGCAGCCGGGGTCCCTGCATCCACAACGTCACTGACCCGTGCAGACTTAGGGGAAGCAGCAATGTTTTTCTTCCCTCCCCATCGAGGCCTCTACTGGCGTGGTTGCTGACCGTTACATCTGCATGACAACAATCAGCTCAGCCGCTGCACCGCCTTGCTCCCTTGTGTTGAACCCAGGTACTACAGCTTCACCCAAAGAGCCGGCACCTCCCAGCACTTGGAGGAGCCGAGAAATGAGTGCCACGTCAGGTGCTGCAGTGGCGGACGCCATGCCAGGTCCACCACCAGCAGTGGCCTTCACTGTGTCAGTTGTGACGGCAGGGCTGGGAGCGACATCCGTGTGCATTGGCGTGCCTTCCCCAATGAGCTCAGACCCATGCACATGATCGACCCGACCTTGCTCATTGATGTTTGGTGCCTTCACGTTGTCGTTGCAATGATACTCGCTACTTGTTCGGCGGGCATGGGTTTCTTCAAACAGGCACACAGACACACTGGTGTGAGACGCCTGCACTTGCGGTCACTTCTACAACGTTCTCCTCCTCAACAGGGCGCGAGGTGGGAGCCGGGACTGTATCCATCGCTTCCGGCGCGGGTGATTCAAGCTTGGTGGAACTGCTGCCATAAGTGCCATATATATCCACGCGTTGATTCACACTCCGGATCACATCCATTAGATCCTTCACCTGCTTCCGCACAGCACCTTTTCCACGACCCCGGCCTGCACGTTTACGGCCTCGTTGCTTTCCATCCGAAGCCTGTGTTCCTGCACATGTAGTCACGACATTGATGTTAGTTTCCGACTCATACCCACTCGTGCCGACGTCAGTGGACGGCGACCATTCCTCGTCGCTAGAGGCACCGCTGGGCTCCGATACAGCGTTGCACGATCTGGACACAGTGCCAGTGCGTCCATCAGAGCCATCCATGGTGCACGACGAGTGTACGGCCCCATACAGAACTGGGTAGTAGTGATACCATGCAGCAGGCGTCACATTCCCGCTGTCAGGACCACCCACTCCCGTGCACTCCAATCCAGCTGCGTGCTCATTACAATCACCTGGACGACATGTACTAGGGATGATAGAACACTGACACATCCGAGCATCTGGAGCATCTACCTGATCTGCACCTCCAAAGCCGCGCAATGATTGTGAAAGGATAACATGCGGACAAGTAATGCGGGGTCGATGCTTACACACCTGTGGGAGGCGGAGATGTGCCCGCCTTCATTGGCTTGCACTCCTCGGATTTGCCTCTTGCGCTCCTATGCAAGCTCACAAAATCCCTAGCAATGCGGCAACATTCGCGGGCCTCTGCTTGCCACGTCCGGTCCGCCGCACGTGTACGTGGGGTCGTGGTAACAAAATCTCCCGAAGCCAATACGTGCGTCGGACGTCTCAGCCGCCCACGAGTATCTCTAGAGCATGCAGCACTAACTGCTGGGCTCATAATAGATTAATGGAGGAAGTCAAACTAGCATAGCGATTAGTCACTGCTCGGCATGGGGAGTGCGAGCTACAGCGCTGCAGAGTCTCTCACTGGCCACTCCTGAATCGTGGATAAACTGGTGTCAATCCACGGATGTCCGTCAGTTGCGGCCAGGCTAACCGAAAACCCTGTGAACAGTTTCGGCCTCATCCGAACCCCTAGGGTTGATGAGGGTGACTGTACAGTCACTTGATGGCTTTAGAGGGACTCGATGTCGCGTCCAGTGCGACCCTATCGGTGCAGGGGAGCAGCGGCCTTCACGACCATCACATCGTTCGACAATTACAAAGTTGGAAAACTCACCCAGATTAGACCACACACATGTCACAAAGCAATGCGACGCCGTCATTCGGGGGCAACCACATTGATGCAACGCTTATCATCTAGTGGGTCAGGTAACCTCAACAAGTATTTCATGTATCGTTTATATTGCCACTACCTATCACCTATAACAAGGAACCCTCTAACAAGGCAACGAGTAGTTGGGACTAGCAAACCCTTTCAATTCACCTGTGCCCATAGGACTGACCATCGCCATGGCTACATCGGACACGGCAACCGCAACGTTCATCCCGTATTCTATGCCCTACCCCGAATATCGCACATATCTGACACTAGGTCGCGAGCAGGCTAGAACACTGGACGTTGAAGAATGGCTGACTGGTGATATTATAGAGTGGTTAGCACTGTTAGTATATGCGTGCTCAAACAAAGCTTTTGCGATATAACGACAACATTGTGCTGCCCATATTGCTTAATTACAATGCCCACAATGATGATCAGGCATGAATATACCGTGGGACGTTGTTCTACCCGCTCATCAGTCGGCCAAAAGCAACGACCACAACTATTCAATACGCTACGAGGGACAACATTCTGTCCTATAGATGGGCTTTCATCCCGATCCATCTTGAGTACGTTTCCTAATAAGCCGTCAATGCCCTTCCCTCCATGTGAATGCATGGCACTGTTATATGCAGTGTGCAGTAATCATTGGAGCCTGGTCATCCTACAGAATGACCAGGACGCTAAAAAGGACCACCTGCCCCTCTCCACGCGCATTTGGCACTCTGATTCCTCGAGTATGCATTCAGGTTTCCACGCCCACATACGACGGTCAGTGCTTTCGTGTGTCGAATGGTGCCTGTGGCTAATACGCGTGCAGTGACTTTTACGTTACCAAGCAAACACCCCCCACTGTAATCTCAGGCAGCAGCTAAGGGCGTACCGCCCCTGGATTTCTGACTCCCAGACGGACACATGGGAAGCGGGACTGTACAGTCGACGTAAGACCCCCATCCGTTTGTGCTTTTAGTGTTCAGCGTTTAGCCATGTCCTAGTGCACTGCTAATAATCCATTCAACAACGATTGTGTTATATGGTTTCGCAAGCGATACAACAGCCCAATGACTGGGAGTGTGGCATCTACGTCATCAAGTACATGCAGCATCTAGTGGAGACGGACTTTGCCAGTCCCGACCATATTGCACTGTGTGGTTCATCCACGACCTGGTGGGAGGAGTTGCGGACTTATTTTTTGCTACTATTATAGGGAGCAGAGGAAAAAATCTTGAATGAATCTTAGTACTTGTGTGGAGTAGCATAGTTGTAAGACAAACGCTGCTTTTTCCAAGACATATGTAATGATTGATGGTGTTGAATGAGACTAAAGCGTCGTTGGCATGTTCTTGTAAGAAAGTGTGCTTTGATTAAGTTGGTGAGTGCTCATACACGTGTACTTTTGTATGCTGCCGTAAAGGTGGTGCGTTCTCAATCCAAACTAGACGGACAGCGAACGCCGTGAACAACCGTAGCAAGTACCACCGTCACACTGTTTGGCACCTGCACCTTCGTGATCGCCATTTGACCCTCGCAGTTCCACGGCCTTAGGGTTTCTTGGAGGCGTACAACCTTTACGAACATGGCAAAGTTGTCCAACAGCCAAGAGAAGAAGCGCATGTAAGGAAGCGCCCAAGGACGTTGGATGGCGATGTAACGCCAGATCTACGAGCTCATGCGCACCATGAAAGTCCAACACCCATGCATTCCCACCCCGATTCCAATTACCCACTCCCGGAGAATATCTTGGACGACATACCCAGCCCACATTGCAATAACAAAAGTCATTGGTTGCAGTTGAATGGCCTTTTTCAGGATTATCGGAACATGAGTTTTGACACAAAAAAGGAACTCCCCTTGCTAATGCAAAGTTTCCGCAAAGGTCAGGGCATGACGGTAGAGGAGAGCAAGTGGTTACTTCATTTGTTGTCGCGTTCCAACTTCGATATTGCTGAGGCACGCAAGTGGAAGAGCATCAAGGATGCGCAGAAGTGGGCTGCTGATAACTGGGGGAGTCGAGCTCAATCCTGGAAAACAACAATAGTGGAGGTTCCAGGGATCTTGGATGATGGGAAACTGGTGTTTTTTCCCCTCAAACACGCCGACACCCTTGAGGTACTATCATAATGCACGTTCCTGCCTTGTACGTCTTACTTTTCAGCTACCGATTCCTGCCGTGCTTCATACCTTCTTTTCATTCATTGCCACTCCCATGATGCGGCGCGCCGATGAGGAGGCGATGCTGCGATGTGGCGGCGATGAGGAGTCGAGGCGGGGAGGGCGATGTGGCGCCCCCTGGCATCATCACCTTTTGCCTCAGTTCCGCCACGTCCTTCCCCTCCTCCCCTCCGCACCCCTCTTCCTCCCCTTCCGCCCCACTACCCCGCTCCCCCCCCCCCGCCCGCACGCCTCCGCTGCTGCAGGCGCGCGCGGGTCTGGGGAGGCCACCCGCAGAGCCGCGAGAGGCGTGTGGGAAGCGCAGGGGGAGAATGGTCTGGCGGGGGAGCACGCCTTGGCCCGAACGCTCGCTGTCGCTCTCAGCCCCCTTAGCTCTGCTTGGAATAGCGGGCTCTGTCGGTGCTTCCAGGGCGACTGAGGCCAGGGGAGGAGGGCGCGGTGAGGTAGAAACGGGAGGGGGCGTGGGCGGATTGGGCGGCGGGGAAGGGGCGCAAATACAAGGTGCGCTGGCGAGGCACCATCACGTACGCGGGTGACTTCTGCGGCGACTGCCTCTCTGCATCGTTCAACACAGCGCCCCTGCTGTCGTCACGGTCCTTCCTCGCCCCCTCAACGCCCACTCCCGCTGCTCTTGCGGCTTCCCGCTGCCCCTCGCCCTCACCGCGCAGTGCTGCAACGGAAGTCGCAGCAGGAGCGACCATATGCGCGGAGAGGTTGGCGGAGGAGGAGGCGCGCGGCAGCGACACGTCGACGCCCACCAAATAGTGCGGCCCCGCCACGCCCACCGCGTGCTTCGCTGACGGCCGGTGATTTAGGGCGGAAATGCAGGGGAGAGTCGCCAGACAAAAGTGACGGAACAGGTTTGCGGGGTGAAAATGTAGTGAGAAGAACGAAAGAGGCAAGATAGCGACACGGCGCCGAGGAGGGGGCGAGGACGGGAAAACGACGAACCGCGTAGGCGACCACGTCGCGAGCTAGACGCGATGTCGCTACTCGTGGGCTATGTCGTCGTGACGATTAGGGAACGATTGCCACGTTTCCTGCTATTAAGTTTGTAGTTTCTACGTTTAGTGGTTGATGCTCTCACTGGTTTATCACTCGCTTTGTCTGGTTAATCGACTCAGTTTTGTCATCTCCGCTTCCCTGTTTCCACCATTCGCTTGATTTTCCCCCTTCCGCGGTGTGTTTCCCCAAGCCAACCCCCGTACGAAATGGTTGGTATCGCCGGCCTGGTTTCAATTCTTCGCACCAGCTTTCCATACACTGGATAATTCGCCCTTGAATCAGCAAGCGCCAAAGGGTGAGCACTAACAATGCCCCCAAAAACCACCCCTAGGAAAATGCAACCTTGCTTTAAGCCTTTTACATCCCATCAGTTTCCCATGTCCTGCTAGCTTATCTAATCTCCCTTCACCCTTGCGCTTCAAGCACTTCCCATCCTATCATTATCCTAAACTTTTCGGCCTCTTACATGCTCCGCTGTCCACGCGCCTCATGCTCTGTCCACCTCCCCCAGTCCATTGTGCCTTGCTGCCAGTTTCTGTCCCCATGCCCCCATACATGAAGCCACTATAATCCTACGTCTCGTTTACACTCAGCTGCCACATTTAGTCCCCGTACCCCCATACGCTTCAAGGCATGACATTCCCCCCATTCCCCTGTATCGTGTTGCTCTGTTCATTCCCCATTCTGCCACGTGCATCATGCTGCATGCATTTCTCCATTCATCAAACCTTTTTTTACATACTCCAGATTTCTTCAAAGCACCCACTGTGATACGACCCTCGCTTAGATTGCGAAGACTATTTTCGAGAACAGGAGCAACCACAAGGGTTTTGCCCTGCATCCAAGTGAAAATCATGTCAATAATGTTTGAGTATTAGATCGTCCACAACACAGTGGCTGGTGGATAAGGGCAAAGGTGTGATTGCTTGTTTCAAAACATTCCCACCTGGCATACTCTTTCCCTTTCTATGCACGCTAATATATAGTCACCTGTTCATATCTATATAAGCGCTGCTTATATATAAGCCAAATGGATTGAAAGCTGTGCATGCGTGCGCCTATCATACTTTTTGTTCTCTTCTACTGTACCTTGTCTGTGACACATCATGTAACCCATTCATCCAATTACATAGGCCAATCCCCCTTCATATCCATACTTGGCTGGAATCGTTTTCATACCCTACTCTTCATTTGCAAAGGGAACGTGGGTATCCCGATGGTGTGATTGCTTCAATGATTGTTTACTCCGAAGTTACTCAGCTAAGCAAAAATGACACGCAAAAGGTTTGGCCTGTGGTGATTTCCATGGCAAACATTGCAGTGGATCATAGGTTGAGACTGCATGCCAAACAACTGGTTGCTATGCTGCCTATGTGTAACTCAAAATGGCCTAGCAAGGTCAAAACGGAACTATTTTCATAAGTGCATGAAGATTGTTCTGCAGCCGCTCATCGATGCAAGCAACAGGTGAGCACCATCACCTCCCTTCCCCAATGTTATTGCACTATATGACACCTACTGAATCTGCCTTCGGTTTTTACATGCACAGCTTGATCGGATGCATGTGGTTTGACCCGACTGGTCATATCCGCTCCGTGTGGCCGTTGCTGTACTGTTACGCGCGCGAATATCCCGAGAGTTGCAAAGTCTCAGGCACATTTCAGCACAACAGCAAAAGACCCTGCTCCTTGTGCTACGCTACATCGGACAAGATGGACGACCTTGAAATGCGATTTGTAGCGAGGAACGTGAAGCAGCAGAGGTTCATTCTGAATAAGTACAATATGTTTTTCGAAACTGGCAAGACCATGGCAAAGAAATATGCACAGGACTGGTCCACCTTCCCGATACCCGTGAGTCAATAAGAAGCTAGATGCAGCCCAATGCTTTGATGGACGATTGAGCAGAGCTGATCTGTGCATAGTTGTACCAATCTGTTCCAATGCAGTGCTTCTTCTCGGAATGGAGGTTTGCCAGTACTGACTGGGGGAACCCGTACCTGGCATTGATGCCAGATGCCCTGCACCAATCTGATATCGGCATTTGGACATACATTCGAGATGCATTGGCCTTGACTGATAGTGCTAAGAACGGTTTACTTGATCAGTGAGCACCTTTTTCGCATCTCCATCTCGTTCTTCTTTGTCACTTGTATGCCTACATTCAATCATCCTCAAGTTTTTAATTCCATTGAAGCCCATCAACCCATCATCCCCTCACCTACACTGACGACTGCTCACAACCATGAGGCCCCCCTTAATCCCCTCACATGCTTCAACCCCCTCACATCCCTTTGCCCTCCCCCGTCATCCCCTAATCCGCCCTGTCCCCTCACCCTGCCATCAACCCCCCTCACCTTCTCTATCCCCTTATCCGCCCTGTCCCCCAACCGGCCCATTCCCCACTCCCCTGTGCCCTCTCCCTTTAGGTTTTTCTTGCCTTTACCACTCTCACCATTCCGCTCTCCCTTTTCAAACTCTAAACCATCCCTACACATTTCTCATGTCAATCCCCGCAAAAAACCTTTCCCGCAATGCTCTAGGCGCCTCACATGGCTGTGGCAGCATGGACGCATTGCACGAATGAACTTGCCTCAGCCTGGAGGCTACTCTCAATCGGGTGCAAACGTTTCTGCTGTAGAGCACCGTGCGGTCATGTAGGCTGCTGTTTTCATACTCGAAGGTCTTATGTTAGATGATGAGATGGATGCGGTGAAGGGGTTCTTGGATTGGTATAACTGTACCTTTCGTCCCCGACACCACACAACGCCAGTCTTGCAGACGTCGTGCTTAAATCACATAGGTAGGCGCATTGTAATTTCTGTTCTGCAGCATATGTATCCACCAAATCCCCTTCATGCCCAATGTGCACTCTGTCCTTCCCTTTTTCCTATACTTGTATTTCATACTCCCCATATCTCCCCCCCATCACTCACCAAGGCATACCCCTTCTGCCGCCCACTGGTGGTTCCTTGTTTTTTTAGCAGCAGGTCTCATGCTCCTACTCTTCCTTCAGCGCCCTATTTCACCCATCGTGGGGATATTCAAGTGCCATCAGCCAGTCCATACTTTACCCATCACGCACCAGGCCAGACCAAGGAATTTCCACATACCCATTCCCCCCGTTTTACGTCCAATCACGTTGGCCAGATTGTACTTTGCATCTACCCTCTCCCTTGGTTTCACTTCGATTCTCCCACAACTATTCTTTCCCCTTCTGCCCTTATCGTGCCTTATTCTTGGTATTGCAGGCCATTCCCGTTTCAACACATGTGGTAGCACATCCTTCATGACATGCTCGGAACCCCATTGTTGGTTCAGGGTCCCGTCCATGTGTTTCCCCCCTATGTTTGTGTTCACATATGATCCACATTCCACCCATTTCACCCTTTTTCAGCATGATTCGGAAACAAAAGTTGGCATTTCCAGAACAAGCGTTGTCGTGGAAGCTCATCAAGGTGCATATGACGGTTCACTACGTGGATGCCATCAAAAGAGGCGGGTTGCCTGAAGAGTATTCAACAAATATGTATGAAACCTTCCACAAGAGCAGTGTCAAGCGACCCTTTCGAGCGTCAAACCGCCGCCAATGGTCAGAATTCATTGTGCAAAGGAACCAATTCCAACATATGCTCGCTCACGTAGAGAGTGACATCGCGGAGGAGTGCGAGTACAACAGTGCGTTCTACGAGGTAATAATCTGCCCTCATCCCAAAAAAGGCGTGGCTGGTTGGGCATGATCATTTTAGGGTTCCGAAAGGTTACCTGGGAACAACGTACGGTTCAGTTACGAGAGAGTATGTTTGGCGATGGGCGCTTCGGGAAAGTTGCCCAAAGTTACCTGGTTTGTTTGGGCGCAAAATTCTTCACACCCGTGATTGGCTGAAGGTTCGAAGTTACGGCTGGGTAAGATTTCGCCAATTGCTTTGACTACAGTAGCTGGTTCGCTTTGTTTTAGATCCAATTTCAATAGCTGTATAGGGACCATTGAAACAGTACTGTGAAAAAACAATGCAATTTCCTTATTGCTTTGAAAGGTGTTATGTTATCATGTATTGTGAGAATAACGAGGGATGAATGCACTAGGAAACAGGTGGGTACAAGTAGGAAAACCTAAAAGTGTTGTACCCCATATTTTCTACCCCACTACAGCCTACACAGACTATAGCATATAAGTTTGACACACCCCCATAGGCAAAGTGGGGGAGAACAAGAGGTCACAAGACCAGTCAAGCAAAGCACAGTAAGCTCAGGGTGGATCACAACGTCACCACACATTCCGAGCACAAGTTCAAGGCCACAAGGCCAGTTCACATGCAAGATTATATATAAAGGTAAACAAGCAAGTGCAGGTATAGATGGATCACAGTACAAGCAAGGTCAAGCAGTGAGCAAGTGAGGCCAAGTAGGCACAAGACCTAGCATTGTACAAAAGCGCTGATGATCACAAGGCGGAAGTGCCTTAGTAAAGATATCAGCAGTGTTGGCCTGAGAGGCCACGTAAGCAAGGCGCAGCTGACCACGCTGCTGCAGCTCACGAGCAAGGAAGTAGCGAAGAGCAATGTGCTTCGTTCTGTGCTCTAGTCTGTGCTCCCTACACAAGGCCAGCATGGCCTTGTTGTCTACGTACAGAACTGGAGGAGAACGAGGCGGCTCTCCTAGGTCAGTCAGCAGGTAGGTGAGCCAGCGTAGCTCCTGTGCAGCCATGGCCCCCGCGTAGATCTCAGCCTCACAGCTGGAGCCGAGAACAGAAGACGAGCG